ATTCTATCAACAGTTGAAAAAGAAGATATGTCTTTCTTTGTTCAAACTAACTTTATCAATTGATGGAAAGAAACTATGTGGACCTTTTATGAGCCTTTGTTGAAGAAACGTATAAATAGGTTGTTGCCTTGATGGAAGCCGACATTATATTCTGTGACACGCCTCTGCTTACCAGTTGTGATGCATTTAAGTTGTCTGGTGGAAAAGGAATCGATGCCAACGGGTCAAAACTTAGATTTGAGGGCCGATACGTGCCTTGGGTGCAATTTCTTTTCGTTCTTCGTTGACTTGTTTAACTTTAAAGCTGCCTTGATATGTAATCGCCTTCCAAGAACTACTCACGCAATGAGTATGAATTGTGTTAACGCATGTATAAACTTCCACGTATGAAGCTGTATCGAAAAGGTCATAATGTAATTTCTTTCTCTCTATTGAACTATTCGTTTTGAAATTTCGAAATATTGCTTACCAGCAATACTTGCACACATTCCCGCAATTTTCCGATCTTAGAAAGCTAGATGCATCGTTTCCTTCAAATGAATTCGACAGACATTCTGATAACTGCAACATCGCCTGTAATTGTGATGATTGAGTGCAAGAGGTATCAACTCATGCTTGGCATGTAAGTGCTATCTAATATTGCACTCTCTAGCTGCTGTAAAGGTTGGAGTACATTGCCGAGCGACAATGCTGACGAATCAACAGTATTTTATTGCTGACGAAAGCTCCTCTTCAGTATAGCCTTTTTGAAGACAAATTTTTATTAGAACGTTTTCCTTTTGCTTGCAATTTTGTTCAATACTTAGTTTCCCAGGCGGGCAAATATATCAGCTCAAATGACATTCTTGAGTTGCTGAATAACACGAAGGTCAAAAAACTTGACGTCATGCAAATTTTAAATAGCAATAACTTGTTCTCTGCAGGTCTGATAAAATTTATTCTTTAGAACTTTTTGCTCCTATTACAATGTCAAGGAAGATGGTTGGAGCGATTTTTCATAAAAGAGAATTAAAATTTTGACTACCGGGGAAAATGACGTCATCGATCATGTGATTTCTGTTGTGTTACAATTATGTATCCAGGGCTTAAAATATGCAGCAAGGCTGAAAGTACCCAAATCAAGAGCAAAAGCTAAGGTTAGGCACTTTGCTCGATTGTTGTTGAAAATTCCCTGTCTAGGCACTGTCCCCGTCTTCGATATCAAATAAAGATATAATTTATGTCCAATTTTGACCAATTTCTATAACCAAATTTGCCCTTGAAGATGCAGATTTTATCTGACAATATCCGAGCAGCAAATCACTCTTTGGTAGAAATCTGTAAATCCTGAGAAGTATCTTTGATTTCAAGAAATATGGTATTTTCTTTAAAA